TTCAATAATGATTTTCCACTAAATCTGATATAAATATTGATCATAATCAAGTTATAGATGAATTAGTAAGTAAATACTAAGTCTGTATTGACCAAATATCTACTTAATTTTAAGCCAATTAACCAAAATAATTTAAAAATTATGAAAATTTATGTTAGTTAAAATAATTTAAAATATCAAATACATAACATTTATATTATAATTTTTAGTTATTATGATGAGATATTTTATGAGATATTAAGACCATCTGTGTAATTACTAATTAGTAATAATTTCCATATTTCATACTTCATAATAAAACAAATATTCTTGTTATATTACCTATACCGACATTTTCACTTTATTAAAAATTATAAATTTTTGGAATCTTATTATATAGAAGCAGTGGCGTATTAAGGTTTTTATTATGGAGGGGGGATATGACTTTATAAATGAAGATACCAATGAGAATATTATTCAATATATCTTAATACTTTAATTCTTGCAAATTTAATCAATTATTGATAAAAAAAAATAAATAAATAAATAATAATAATTTTTTAAATAATATGATGAATTGATGACTATAATTATTTGTGTGTATACAGCTTATGGGAGGGGATTTATCTTCTTGATTCCCCCGTAAATACACCACTGCATAGAAGCAAATAGGCCTATTATGACATATATGTTTTCCCAATTCTCCATGGATTAAAATTGAGTGTTTTTATTTGGAGGAGAAATTCAATAAAAAATATTTGTCATTTCGCTTGAAATCTAATTATTCAAATGTCACTATAGGTAATGTTAAAAAATAATTTAGTTTTATTTTATTTAATAGTAGGTATTAAATCCTAAAACAACTTCATTCCATTTTCATTTTAAATGAAAATATTGTTCTCTGAATTTATTCTATCAGACATTTATCTAATACTGAAAAGACAAAAGTACAATTTTATTCGATAAACTTTTTAAATTCAAAATATTAATATAGCCCATCTTCTTCATTCAGTAGGTACTATTTTTTCGCTTACTTACAAGCAACAAAATCTTATTGAATTCAAATTTCAAATAAATTATAAAACAGATGCAAGCTCTCTAATTTTTATAACTTATATTTCAAATAATGATAATCGGTTACCGTTTACAAAGTACTTCAAGAAAATTAAAAAATTTTTTCATTCAAAATATTAGCCGATAAAAAAATATTCTATATACATCATACACATATTTAATAAATCTCTAAGGAAACTTTTAGATAATTTTTATGAAGAGAAATACAATAATTTTTTTATGTTTTTATTGTGGAACTTGAAAGACTTGAGAAGCTAAACCCCCTCTCAAACCATCAAATTTCCGATTTTTTCCTTATGAATTTCGTTGAAAAATGTCGATTTATTTGTATGTTAATATTTTATATTTGTATATAACTAAAAATAAATTGATAAGTACTAAAATTATCTTTTATAATATATACACATATGCAAATGTGAAACATGTAATAAAAATATTTGTTATGAAGAATGACTATTGTTTAAATATATATACATATGTATTAAAATAAAAATAAATAAATATTCAACAAATGTGTTACAAAAGTGATGCCAACTTGCAGAGCAAGCGAATTTGAGTGGAACGGCTTTTTAAATATTTTCCTTAATTTTTGATTAATGAATTTATTAATACATGAATTGAGTCTTTAATCGAAATTGAATCATATTTTTTGACTGAGACTCCTTAGTTATGAGAGATTCTCACTCCACATTATTATTTTCGAGATTTTATACGAATTATATAAAAATTCTAAATTTAAACGCTTATAAAAAAATAATGTGACTACCTATATGAATTTTTAATATTTTATAATTGGTAAATGAACCACTTTTAAGAAACAAAGTATTAAAAATTATGACCTATACAGTAAACAAAAAAAAAAATTTTTTTTTAATGTCTAAGTCCAAAAATAACTCGAAACTATAAAAAAATGTTACTTTATATTTAAAATGTTAAACAAACATTTGGTGAAAAATTTAAGTATCTGTGATTATTCAATTATTGGTTTTACATAAAAATTCTTATTTTTCTCTTAATTTTCCCATTTTGAAAAAGTACCTACTAAAAATTTTTAAATTTTGACCTATTCAGAATACACACTAGACCCAATTTGCTACCAGAAACAACTTTCAAAAGTTGAAAATTAAAGCATTTTGTCATCTACGTATCGTCCATACATGCAAAAAACATATGATTGTACAATCAATACATCCATCATTCCACTCGGAATTTAAATTAACTTTTTATAGCTACATTTTTTTATATGTTTTAGTCTTTAAACGTATTATTTAATGTTTCTTCCGTTTAAAAAATCCTAAATACGCCACTAATTACTAATGCACACATAGTCAACTCACAACATAATGAAGCTCAGTATAACTAAAATCTTGACATAACAAACTGTTTTCTTTACCTCTGAAATTCGTTCAATCGAGTCGTTTACAAATAAATAAGCGTAAACTGTAAGAAGAGAGGGTGGGACGAGAGGCTTCAAGCTATAGCTTTTAACTAAAAAATGTTTTTTATTTAAAATATCAATAAAAAGTTTAAAATGGTTTATAATATAGATGTCTTAGACTCTTAACTTGTTATAAATCTACTGTATTAAATCTAATAATTTTAAATTTATTTGTATTTATTTATTTTGATGCCACGTGGCATTTATAACAAGTATAGGGAGTATAATTATTTATGATAACTAATAGCAAATAAAGGTAAATAATGATAATCAATAAGACCTACCTATTAATATTCTTAAATATAGAAAAAATATGAAATAAAAAAACTTAAGAATAGGAGGTTAATCGTTTGATTTTTGTTAAATATGAAAATATATGCATTAATAATTTGACTTATTTTATTAGGTATTAAATAATTATTAATTACCTTTATCAAGTATCAATTATGTTACAGAATATTTCTTCACCATTATTGACTGGCCTATTTTCATTCATTGCAAACTTTATAAATTGGTAACATAATATATTTATTTATTTTAAATGTCTTCACTAAAATAAATAAGAATATAGACAAATACAGTACTTAGAAAAATGAAAAGTAGAAAAAAAAGTATCTGTTTAGCAATAAATTATAAAATTATAAAAACAGCTGCACTTTTAAAATATATTTTACGTAAAATATAGTTGTTATCAATAATTACGAATGTTGCAAGTTATTGAATTTTATGTTCCACGTCTAATAATAAAATTTTGGCACAAGTGATAACATCTAGAAACTTGCACAATGCCAGTGGAAACTGTCACGGTGCGAGTTCGGCAAAACAAAAAAAACGCAATAAATTATACTGGCAAAGTATTCTGTGTAAAGAGACATTGAGTGATTGTTACCATATGAAATAGGGTATGATAGTCAAATGGCTCATTTGTTGGAAAGACAGAAAGACGGAGTGAGATTACTTGTAATAAGAGAATAAAATTGTTTTCGAGAATAATTATATCAAAATTTTGATGACAAGGTTTTTAAAAATTAAAAAACAAAGTATTTGTTTCTGTAATCATGTATTAATTTTTTTTTATTTTCGAATAAATGTAGCTCTGACCTTATTTTTTTCAAAACTTTAAGGAAACCTTTGAATAATTGTTTATTGTTTATATTCATATATATTTTATTATTTAGAACTTAAAATTATTACCAATTCACTTATCAATACTTTAAGACTTAAGTACAAAATAAACATCAGAATTTAGCTCAATAATCACTTGCCAAACATAAATATCATCTGTACAATAGCAATAAATAATAATGGAACAAAAATTAAATAATTATTAATGTATTTTAATTTCCAGTGTAGTCTACTAAATTTTGATTCATGTTTAAAATTTGTATTTCTCATTTCATTTTGTTAGATTGATAAATAAAAAGGTTTTGGTAAGAATTTCTATCATTCATTAGTTTTATTAATAAGTACTTATTTAGTATAATAATACAATATCTATTCTATGCATAAATAAAAAACATAAACACACTTTTATCCATGACTACCAGTAGACACAAGTACCTACCCAAATAGAATTATTACAAATATTGATAAATATTAAAAAGGTGTAATATATTACAGTAATGCCTAAAATTAATGATTTTGCAACTATTTAACACATATTTGTATGTGTTTAATTACAAAAACATACAATAAAATTAGCTAAAAAATAATTGTCTCACTCAATTGTACATATTTTTTTTTATGAATACGACCACCCTAATCCCTAAACTACTGTAACTATTTAATTGATATACTACTATAATACATTAATGCTTAAATATTTAATTTCCAATAGTTATACTGTTTACTTATGAGAGGACTTATACTTTAATTACGTTATCAAATAATTATGGAATACATAGTTTAAAACACCTATTGTAACAAATTTATGTTTGTATAAATATTTCAGTATTATTTAAGTAGAAATGCTATCTCTTGAAATTTAGCTAAAATTAAGTGCAAGAAATTAATAGATGTAAAAAAATTATAACCATAAATGATATGTATACTTTTATAGCTTATAAATATGTTTAAAGCAAACAAAAACTACCAATTTTTTTGACGGTAAAAATTATGAACAGTTTTGATATTTTAGTTTTAACTAATATTATGAGTAATAATTATTTAAAAAATTTTCCTTTATTACAAATTATTAAATATAGGTACATTTATTGATTTATTTACAATTATATTCATTAAAAAAAAAAAAAAAAAATACAAATTAAGATATTTATTTACTTTTCATTATAATTTATAAAATTTGGTAACTACTATTATTACAAACAAATATTAAGTCATTTTTAAGTTTGAGGTAAATGGTTTTCACTATGTTCTAATACAATAGTATTCAAATATTAATGAAAAATGTCCATACAAAATTAATTAGAAATAGAATATTTATTTTAATTTTTACAAAATTTTTACATGTTATTAATTTACAAGGAACAAAATGTAATTGTAACAACAACTATACAACAAAATTTTAAATTATGCATCGCTATCATTATTAATTATGTCATCATCATCATCATCATCACTATCATCTTCGATGTTGTCAAAGTTGAATAAACTTGTATTTCGATAACTACTCATATCAAACTTTGGAAATGATTTTTGTTTCAAATTCTCGGCTTTCAATTCCTTAAAAATAAAAATAAAAACATAATTCAAAGTTTCAAACAAAATATTATTACAAGATATATATGTAGCAAATATTTCTAACAAAAACCTGTTGAATACATTTATAAACTAAATATGCTATTACAAAAAAAAATAAAAAATAAAAAAATATATTAAAAATATATTAAATATATTATGTTGTACAACATAATATAAAATGTGTATGTTTTTTAAATTAAAATAAACTCTCAATAGTATTATAATTGAACTAGTTAAAACCTATTTATAAACAAAACTGATAAACTTTTTTCAGAGATGAGAAAATATGATAAACAAAATATTATTTTACATAGACGGGCATTGAAATATAAAGACTTACTAAACTATAATGTTATGCCACATGCTACACAAAAATAAAGTTAATGTAGTCTTACGAAATTGTGTATACATTAATAATTAATATTATATAGGTAAGCTAATAAATGTATATTATATAGAATATAGATAATTGTATAAGTATTTAAAGTACACTTATTTAGCCATAGTAAGTCCAATTTAATTCTATGACCCTGTAAATCATGAATATAAATACAACACATTTGAGAATTAATTCCACTTTTTATTCCTATGTTTCGAACATAAACATTTATAACAAATTAATATATAAAAATAAAAAATATAAGAAAATTATCTCTAAACATTTTTTTAGTTTTTTTCATTTAAACATTTATTGTCTAAGCCCTAGGGCAGGGATGGCAAACCTTTTGAACACTGTGTGCCCAAAATTACATTTTTTTTTTTTTTTTTAGAGCATGCCATGAAAAAAATTATATTTTGTTATATTATAATTCGATTGTATAATTAATGTATAAAAAGGTTAGTTTAGGTACATAATAATAATAAATTATAATAATAATTATAATTATATTGCTACAGACATATTAAATAATGTTAAATAAAATATAATAACCCCACACCAAACACGAAACACGCACGACGCACTCACAAATTGACAGACATATTTGTACTGATTAGTGTTTACTGAGGTAGGTTTATTACTCTCAATAATATTATAGGTATTATTATTTTATCTACAAATAAGAATAATCGTTAATGACCGATAAAAGCCGTATGCTCAAAATATTTTTACCTATTACCTATAAACTATAATACTATATTATATTATATAATAGTAAAAATTTTCACGTGCCCACAAAATCTTTTCGCGTGCCATCTTGGGCATGCGTGCCATGGATTTGCCATCCCTGCCTTAGGGCCTAGGCCTCCACCTTCAGATTGAGATCATGGTTAGGTATGTTTTTTTAAATATTGATCATTGACTACATTTTGTTATTTTATATTATTATTTTTTTTTAACTGTTCTAAATATACATATTGCATTATATATTTATTTAACTGTTTTTATTTTATTATCTTTTAACTCCTTATAAGTTTGCTTTTATTAACAAAAAATTATAGTTTATTAACTACATAATTTTTATATTATACTTCATATATAAATTTATTTTTATTTTTTATTTTATTCTCTTTTACATAGCAATAAAACTATAATAATGTTCTTTAATTAACATGCAAAAGCAAATACTATAAATGAAGTGTATCTTATTTTAAAATATATACCTTAAACCTACAGTTTATTTAGATATTTTAATTGAATTGAAAAAATCAAATTTAAATTAATGATAACCTCAATAAGATACTTTTCCACGAGCCTTAAAATAGTAAGTTAGGGTACTGAATTTACCTTCAATTTACTGTCATGAGTGACCTGTAACATCACAGATTCCTTGAGGCTTACATCAGCTATTTTAACTATACTATGTTTGTTTGGTACAGCTGGTTTATTTAGTAAGAAATGCGCTTTATCTGTTGACAAATGAGTATCAATACGACCACACAAATTTTTAGCATAGGGTTCCATATTTTCTGAGAATCCTATGGAATCATAATCTTGCTGTTTGCGTTCAACAGATTCTTCCTCGATTAAATCTGATGGTTTAATCAATGTTTTTTCTGGTTTCTCTCTGAAAAACAATTAAATGTTTTAAATTTATCACACATGGAAAAAATTCCTTGAAGAATAAGTATTAGAATTAAGAACAAGTACTCTATGATTATTTTATCTTGGTAAACTCCCGAATGCGAAGCAAACATTTTCAACACATCTTCATCATCATGTACAACATCTGACTGGCTATTCTTGTGTGTCACTGTAACATGTTTACCGGTCCATTCGAGGGTATCCAATTGATCTTTGCCAATTTTTAACGCCAACATGTCTGTGCACAGCTTCTTGTGAACATCACGAATGTTCAATTCTGCGTCCAGCTGAGCAATAAACTGTTTCAGTTTCTCACCTTTGTCAGGCAATCCCTCGACGAATCGTCTAGAAGAAAACAAAAAAAAATTAACATTTTAGTGGCCATTTAAATTTGCCAACAATTGTTTTTAGACGAAGTACACACTTATTACTGAGGATCTTGCATTGTCGTTGGTGCAGTTCCTGTAGTTCCGCATAAGTTTTCTTTTTAAAATTCACTTTGTTCTCGTTTTGAATATGGATCTTAGACGCAAACATTGTGCTAAGTTAATCTAACAAAATGGATAAAAAAAAATTAAATAATGGCTATTGTACCGTTGAAGCGGCCGTTTGTTTATTTGATAGTCCGTTATCAATGAAATAAAAAAACGGCGGTGATAACACTGATAAGCAAACGTCGACAAGTGATGTACGGGCTGTATACGAATATTACGAACTACAAACAATGACGTATTTCTTAGCTGCGTGTAGCAACGCTAGAATATTCGAAAATCAATAATATTATTTTGCCGGCACGTTGGTCGAGCATATTATACTTAAATAATGTTTTTATACATCTATGGTCGGCACATCAATAACAAGGTGGGTTATGAATCCCGGATTCCTGGCCCTGGGAGACGCGGAGTGTATTATGTAGATTAGCTGCAGCCTGAGCTCGTTACGATTTTTGTGACAGCCATAAATTGTTCATTGTTTATTTCCTCACTTGAAATATTAAATTATTAACTATCCGTATTATTTTTTAAATTTTTAACAGCGTATTTGGTGGAACATTAAATTCTTTCGTTATGTCTTGTTTTTTGCCGGTTACCTTTCTCCACCAATTATATCACATGAACTTTGTCAGCTATAGGACAATTTTAAATTTATGCGCCCTAGACTCGTAACAATACTAACCAGTAACCAGTACATACTTATTACTTTCTGTTATTCTGCATGCGTTAATAATCAGTTTCTATCTAGGTTCACGTTTATTTTCTTTATTAAACAATTGAATAAATAAAACACAATTTGATTACAAAAACATCCAGGTGCCTATAACAGATATGATATACTTCGACTATGCTATTTGTTACAATTTTATATTCAAGTTAACAAAACTTATAAATTTAATGTATATTATATTGAGTGTTATGCGAATTTCTAGGGGAATAAAAAAAAAAACCTAGTTGTCAAGTTTTTCGAGTTTTAGCGAATAGCGACTCGACCGTTTTTAAAAATAGAAACTATTGTGATTTATTAAGTCATGAGGCTATTAAATGTTATTAAATATTTAACAATAAAATTATACCATACTTTTTTGTAGGTTTATATTAGCTATTATAAATTATAATTTACAAGGCTATGTAGGTATCTACCTAGATATGTAAAAATAGTAAGATATTAAACTCGCCTGCAAAGTAGTTAGGTACCTACCCACGATTGTTATTTGAAATCTATATAAGAAATTAAAATATAAGACATAATATGCTCATTTTTGCTCAACTAGAAATTCTTGCCCAAAAATTAAAATACCTATCGAAAATTTTAAAGCTTAAACTCAGATTATATTCTTACTAACATTTTAAAGCTAAAAACACATAATTAATTCTACTGAACGCAAATTTTTCATGTTGTATAAGATATAATAAGATATATAAGACGGAGACAGCACATGTAAGGTATAGCACCGTCTTAAATATAATTTTTACCTTCATAATGTATCCATTAGTGCCCATTAGTGCCCAATACCGGCAATACCCAAATAAGTAATATAATATTATCTATTCTGTGTTTAGAACCAAAAAAGTGTAAGATCAACGGAATACGGTCAAGGTGGATAATATATACATACATTATATATGTTTTTATACTATGTCTGCGTAATAGAATTTCCTGTTATCTGTGATAAGCGTAATTTTATGCTATCAAAATAATATAATATTATTATCAACAACATTAAAAAGTCATGTGAATATCATTTATTATTATTATTATTAATATCAAAATATCAAATATGTGACAATTAATTTGCTTTTTCAAATCAATTACTGTAGCACTTATTATTTATCTAATTTTATTAATGTTGTGATGGTATTATTTCTGAGTTCAATGCATGAAAAAATTTGATAGTCATGGTTCAATGTAGTCAATCCGTTCTGTACCTTTTACAGATTACTTTATTATTTAAAATATTGTTTCACTAATCGTTACTATAATATAATAATAGTTAATTGTTATGTTTAACTTTGTAGTCTAAATTTATCCTCTTAAAATAGTCACTCAAATAATAACAACTATGTGGACTATATTTTCAAGAGACTCATCTAAAGACTTTCCATACGAAATCAGCGAATCCCCAAATTATAGGTTCAATGAAAAAAGTCTATGGAAACTGAATAAAGGGAAAAAAAAGGTAAGAGTGAAGTGTAAATCATAATGGCTTAAAAAAAAAAGAACAAATTAATTCATAATCATTCACAGATCTTTAAATAATGGGAACATTCCTTCATCACCTATTGGTTAAGTGATACTTGTAAATTTTCTGTAGATGATTTATGCTTTTGAATAACTTCAGAAATTATAATTTCCTACAATTTATCAATAAAGTTATAGTGATATAATACTAATCAGATTATAATCTTAAGTTTATCAATGATTTTTAATTACAATTGTTGAATAAAAAAATCTGATTATTTTCTAATTGTATCTTAACACATAATTATATTTGTTAGATAATAAGTATTTACAATTTACTAATCATAATAGTGTTGCTGAGTAATGTCAGTCATTGATACATTTTTAAACTTAAATTTTAGATAAGATGATATCTACATTTACTTTAAAGAATTTTAATTATAACTTAGCTTCTTTCATTAATATTAATACTCATCTATAAGAGTATTATACTGAAAGACATTTTCAATTAATTTATTAATTTTTATATTTTTTTCAAATAATTTCATTATAACCTTACCACAGTATATTTAGCCACAAAGGCTTCTTAAAACACATTTTGAGTAATACTGTAAGCTAATCTTCTCAATAAGTATTTTTGCCTTTAGAATTTTATTTAAAATAAGCTTTTATAATTAACTTGTTACCTATGTCACTATAATATGTGAAACATATTAAACATGTACATTGTACGTATAATAGTTAACAACTATGTATATATTGAGCATATACATTATTCAAAAATCTTATTTACTCAATTATCTATTTAAAATTAAATTAACTGATACACAATTTATAGATTATTTTTCTACTTCCCACAATTATATTTTATTTATAAGTTATTAAAAATACTTAATGCCTTAATTTTTATATGTAATAACTAATAATCATCACATTATACATATATATGTATTTTTTTAACAGAATACGGCACAAGAAGTTTCCATTTTTGAATTTTTAATCAATGATGACATTCCAGGAGGTGAAACTCGTTCAGCACTTGCTAAATCAGCTGTAAAACATTTGAAGACTTTAAAACATCCAAATATTCTTAGTTTTTTGGAAAGCTCCGAAGTAAACAAAAAATATATTTATGTCATATGGCTTTAACCAAAATAAATTGCTCAACACTAAAAATATTAAATTAAACATAAGCATTTTTTTTTTTTTTTTCTATAAACTTGAATTTATTTTTAGGTTAAAACTATAATATATTTATCTACTGAGTATGTTGAGCCACTTCAATCATTTATATCATCTCAAGACAATCTTCATACAGATATTATGAAACAATATATTGCTTGGGGAATATCCAATATAATAGTGAGCAAATTTTTATTTTTTATTTTAATATTGTTCAGTATTAAATAATTTAAAGTTAATGTTATTTTAAATATATTTTAGGAAGGATTAAAATTTTTAAACTTTGAAGCCAAACTCTGCCACAATAAAGTCAATATCTGGTCAGTATTCGTAAATAAAGCCGGACAATGGAAATTAGGTGAATTAGAGTACATGAATGCCGTTGAAAATTCTCCACCTTCTTATGCTAGTGATTTATATCGTGCTCCCGGACATCGGCAATCACCATTGTAAGAAAAAATTATTTAATTATTTTAGTGTTGCCAGATTTCCAACTTCTTTTTTAATTTAATCATCTAAAATAGTGATGGATTCTATCTAATAGTTACTATTAAACTATTCGATAGAAGTTCACTATTTGAACTGTTCGATAGTCATTCCATAACTATTCAAATAGTTAATCAAATAGCTGAATTTTTAAATTTAAAAATTAATCAAATAAACTATTTATAAATAGTTATAAGTTATTAATTTGTTAATTGTTATCATACTCGATAATCAATGTATCTAATGGCTAATATTTTATAATATATAGTGTGCTTATTCAGTTTATTGTTAGTAAAATTAAACTGATTCATTAAATTATACATTTTTGTTTAAAATTTAAAATTTAAATGTAAAAGGGAATTACACAATTTTAAAATGAATTATCAAACCATAATTTTTTTTTTAATGTGTATTTATTATTTATCATAATAAGTAATAACAAATAGTATATTAGTATAGTAATTAAATAATTATGCATATAGGTATTTTAAAATGAATTAATTTATAAAGGTTCGGACATACTTCTGTATTACATGCACATAAAAGAACTTCTAGTAAATCCTTTTTACCAGGACAATTTTTTAACACCAAAATTTATAATTTTAAACTTTTTTTATGAAGTTCTTAAAATATAGAAAAACATCACTACTAAAATACCTTTTTTGTTGACCAAATTATAAAAAAAAAAAATATTAAATTAATATTAACAAGCCGATAGTTTATGATGTTTCCAAAATCCAAATGCATTTTTAAATGCTAAATAGGAAACATACTAATATCGCAAACACAAATACCTAATACTGTATATTTATATAAAATATGTACGTCCATGGTATTAACAAATGATCAATGCAAACTCAATAAACTCATTTTTAAAAACTCAAAATTACACTTAAAACAATATTTTTAGTTCAAAATAAGCGAGGGGTGCTAAGCACCAGCTGGTACCTCCATGTATGCGCCATTGGTCTTTTTAAAAATTAAAATATTTGAATAGTTTGAAAAATAAAACTATTCAATAATGTTATTTAAATAGTCTATCGAACTATTTGATTGTTTATCCAAATTATCAAATACTATTTGATAGTGCCCATCATTAATCTAAAACTAACAATGGTAAATATTGTGTAAATAAGTTAAAACTAAACTTTTGTGTAATACTTTTCATTTAAGTGATTTAAAAATATAAAAATGGTTTACCAATGGTAAAACTAGCATTTGTAAATCTTGATACATTACTCCCTTCAAATGCTTCTGTAAAACAAATTTATAGTTATAATTTAATAAAAAAATCACCACAAATAAGTCATACAAAAAATTTTAAAAATACATTATTTTAAGAAATAAATATTAAAAAATGAAAAATTTTAACTTCCATAAATTACTTATTTTAAATATTGTTATTTTATGTTATTTCTATTTTTAAATATTTAAAAATGTTGAAAAAAGTGTTATTGTTACTAGTTAATATTTACTTATGTTTCATACAGTAATTCAATGCTATTACATTTGTAATTTTATAACCAAAAAGTAATCTAGTTACCTTTTAATTTTATAACTAGCAACTAACTTAATTACTTTTACAAATTACTTATCCAACAGTGTAGTTATTATGGGTGTAAGGCAAACTTTATTTTGATTAGAGTTAAGTTCATTTTAACATTGGATTTCTAAAATTAATTAAAAATTTGAATAAAATAATGTATAAGTTTATAACATATTATATTATTTATACTTATCAAATAACTTTTTATTATTATTAAAAAAAATAACTTTCTAGTTGGTTTTAGGTTGCTAATATGCTAGACATCCCTAAATTATTTATATACTTTTATGTTATTAAAATGTTATAATGTTCAATCAATACTTATTTGTAGTTCAATTGACGTTTGGGGCCTTGGTGTACTAATATGGGAAGTATTCAATGGTCCATTAAGCAACCAATCAGCCTTAAAAAATTCAAAAATGGTAAACTAACATTATACTTAAAATTTATTAAAATTCAAAATAATCAATATTGTATAATTTTGATTTTGCAGATTCCTAAAGAGATTATGACAATTTATCCAAGGTTGATAGCTGTAGATCCTATGAACCGTCCATCATATGATACTGTGATTTCTATGTTACAACAACAAGGATATTTTGGTAATGATTTGGAAAAAACCATGACATCATTGAGCCAATACCATTTGTTAGATGATTTTCAACGAACAGAATTTCTCGAGAAATTACCTGGTTTACTGGAAAAATTTCCTAAAAATATAGCCCTGTACAATGTGTTACCTAGTCTTCTTGAAATGTTTAATTATGTCAAAGAGCAAAAATTTATATTTTCTTCATTGATAAAGGTAATCAAATTTGTACTTACAAAGAATATAAAATAATTTGTGTACTTTGTCAATTTAACTTTGTTTTTATTAGTTAAGTACAATGTTAGATGATCAGGAGTTTGAAGAAAAAATAGTACCTTGTATTATTAAACTATACGAGTCCAATGATCGAGCTACCAGATTATTATTACTTAGTTCAATTGAAATATATGCAAGTATGTACATAATTTAATAATTACTTATCAAGAATTGACATGTACTAACATTATTATCAGTTTTTTAGAAGTCAATAAATAAAAAAATCAATTTATCATTATACATTACTGAAAAAGACAATTGATTTTAATACAAATATATTTGTATACCATTTTTTATTTCATTGTTTTCATCTTAATAATTTTTAAACCATTATGTTGCAGAACGATTAAAAGCTGATTTATTGAATACTAATATATTTCCATTATTAGTAAGTGGCATGGCTGATGCTAATCCAAGTATAAGAGAATTGACTGTTCGAGTTAGTTATTAATCCAATAATTTAGTAAATATGTATTAATTACTGACTTTTTATTTAGAGTACTTTTTATATCAGCTCAAAATTGAATTATAATAATTTAAATGTGGAGTTAATGCGGCATTTTGCTCGCTTACAAATGAAAGATGAACAGGTATAATACAACAAGACATGTATATTGTATATATTAATAATATATTTATACAATGTATTTTGAAACATAGGTTAGTATAAGAACCAACACCACTATATGTTTGGGTAAAATAGCTCAACATTTAGACCCAAAAAATAGGAGTAAAATATTATTCTCTGCATTTAGTCGTGCACTCAAAGATCCATTTGCACCATCAAGAATAGCAGGTTGTTCTAATTTAATTGTATATAATATATAATAATACTTTATTTTTATTAAATAGTATATTTTAATGTGATTATTATTGTTAAGGTGTTGCAGCATTTTCAGCCACTCAACAATATTATCCTTTGATTGAAGTATCGACCAGAGTATTGCCAACATTATGTCAAATAACTCTTGACCCTGAAAAAGAAGTACGAAATATTGCTTTTCAAACAATCAAAGGATTTTTAGGAAAGCTTGAAAATGTATCAGAAGATGAAAGTTTAAAAGAAAAAATGGGTAGAGATTATTATGTTATTTAACATAAAATTGTATATGGACATTAAAATGCGCAATGAAGTAGCAAGGTCGGCTGTACCACCCCTTCAGACTAAACTTTTCCCCCAATTACAGTTTATTAAATACTTCAACTATCACAAATAATATTAATAAATTATCTTTGAAAATGCTGTTCAAAATATCACTAGCAATAAGCACTCGGTCACATTTTTGTTCCATTCTATTCCCTCTATTTTTTTTGAGTATTTTGAGAATTTTGATTGCTACTATGATTGTCTATATAAATATTATTATTTTTGTCAACCATATTACCTAATTCTTGTTAGTTTGTGCATATGTTAGTTTTTTAACCGTGACCATTGTTGTCGTATATGTTAAGTTATAAATGTATATACTCTAATTATAGATATAGTATATTTAGTGTACTACATTGAATTTTCATTCGAGACATTCCAAGGATTAATTTCTTACCCCAATATATCAATTGAACATCAGTTGGTTCTTTGGGTTACACACAAATATAATAATTTAATACTGATGGTGTTACAAAAATTCTATTCCTCCCCACCTCCTGCTAGTAATGTTTGCGCTTGCCTATAATATTGAATTTAAATAAAAAATTTATGAGTTAATTGTATTTTGTAGAAGAAGAAGTCAACAGTACTACAAATCCAACCATACCCACATGGGCAGGATGGGCAGTCTCCACGGTAACTTCCAAATTGTATTCATCCAAAAATCCTCAAAAGGATGAAAAATCAATTAACTTAATGAAGAGTTAGTATTTTGATTTTTAAAGCCTAATTTAAATTTTTTTAAACCTAAATTATAAACTATTTATTACAATATGTACTAACCCAAAGAACTATACTTAAATGCCGATTTTTTATCTTGTATTAACCTGTTTTAAGATAACTCAGAAAATACCAACGTGAACAACTGTGAACAGATGTATAGCAATTCACTGAAAGAAAATACTGTGAAAAATGTACATAACGAGAAACAAGTAGAAAATGTAAATACGTTACAGGTTAGGTTCTATTCTAACACAATAATAAATAAATAAATACCTTACTTTGTCATAATCTTAATGCTTAAAAATATTTATTTACATATACAATTTTTTTTTTACATTTATTTCTGTTTTTAACTTGAAAAGAACTAATTTTTATATATTTTTTTAATTTTTAACTATAAATCATTTGATTTCTAGAATTCACTAAATCACAAAAATTCCTTGGAAGATTCTACATCAACCAATGACTGGGATGATAACTCTGGATGGAATATTGGAGATGATTGGGAAAGTGTTGACACTTCGGTAAATTACAATTTATAAAAAAAAAAAAATAGAATATGGTTATAATGCCATCAGTTACAATATCGGCAAAGTAAAATATAAATAGCCAAGTCAACTGATTAAAATGTCAAAAATTAAAGCGATAAAATATAAAAAAATATAACAAAACATATTATAAAAAAATTACTTCATTTATCTGATCTATTATGTTATTAGTTTTATTTAACAAGAAATTACTGTAAAACATACAAAAATATACTTACTTAATTTAAAAAATTAAAGAACTCATAAAATATTAATCATGATTTCATATTAAATGTGATTACATGCTAACTTTATAAATGAATCTATAATCAAAATAACCTTTACACAGTTACAGTTAACTAGTATTATAAAAAAAAACTTAAAATAATGTTTACTTACTGATACAGATAATAACTACAAAAAAATATTTCAAAAATTTTGAAATACTTATCCAATAGTTTTGGTTATAAATACTAAACATATATGTATTATAATACAATGTTAATACTATTTGCAAATATCATTATTGAAAGTATTTAGAAAATGCATTTTCATACCTTAATATTAAGTTAATACTTTGAAAAACTGCATTAAACGTATTATATCCCCAGTATGACAACTGATATTTTGTTGCTTACTTCTATTAGTATACCTACCTATTTATAGGTTTTTACAGAAAATCTTGAATTATCTACTTATGTATTATACATTACAGTAATTTTAATTTTGATTTATGGGTATTTTAATTGTCGGTTTTTTTCTGTTGATATTTTGATCAATCTTTTAATACGGTAGATTGTATACCCATTAAAACTATATCATAATTATTTTTTTATTTTTACTAATTATTAAACATAATTCATTGTTATAGAAATCTGTTAAAGATAATTCTGATTTTGGTTGGGAAGATCAAGAGCCTATTTTACTGGACAATTCTGATGAAATCGCAAAAAGTAAGCATTTCATTAACTATTTTAAATATATATTAACCAATTTATTATACAGAAGCAGAAGCTGAGTTGTTAAAAGAAGAAATGCGTAAAAAACGTGAAGAAAGAAAACAAGAACGTATAAAACAATTAGAATTAAAACGAAACAGCAAACAATCCTTAAAATTAGGTGGTAAAAGATTATAACTAAGAAAAATAGTTAACACAAAAAAATGTTTAGATTTTTCTAAGAACTATAAATAATATTTAAACAAATCAAATAAATGAATTACTATGACTTTTTAATTTATGATTATACTTTTATACCATATTCTTACTTGTTCTTAGTAATATTTTGAGTATTTTATGATGTGATTTGTCATATTTTATTATACTGGTTATAAATCACTTTAATCCCAAGGTTGCATTAACGTTTATTAAATATTTAATAAATCAATAATATATTATTGAATGAATAAAAATTTATTCATCTTCTTAAATTTTGTTAAACATATAATTTAAATTATTGAACTATTGGTTCAATTTTGGCTCATTCAATTTTAGTCATTAAACTGATTGTTACATTGTGCTTTTACCTATTCAAATTAAAATAGATGAAGAGTTTCCATCAATTTTCTTATGATAAGCTCAAATTCCAACATAAATTTTGGTATCATGTTTAAACCCAATATATTTTTATTCAACTGTTATATAACCCAAATGGCCTAAAAATGTATTTAATCGTTTAATATAATCATTCATAAAATAAATTTAAAGAATGGTTTAATGCTATCTGGTTTTACAAGGATACTTTACAATAACATAATTTGAATATCTAATTATTTACTGGACTATATTTTAACTATACTAATAATCTATACTTTAACATAATAAGTGTTAATTTAATTTTTAAAATATGATTTTTAGCGTCTTTAGTAAAATATTTTTGCAAAAAACATTAATTATTTATCAACTGCAAATAAATAGTATGCAATCATTTAATAAGATAAATAAATAAAAATAATTTATAATCTTATTGAAAGAAGTTCAGTACTCTATCATGATTTTATTTTAAGATTACTGTAGCACAGACACCTCAGATGAAGATATCTAATATTGGGATCTCAAATTTCAAAGTGGCCCATGCTTCTTACAACTTAATAACACTAAGAATAATGCTATTTATAGGAATATAAAATAATAAAACTAAATGTACTAATATTGTTAGTTTAAACTAGCTGACTCATTAATAAAAATGTTTGATTTATATTTTATATCAATATTACGTTCATTATATTTAATAGTAATTTTAAACTTAAAATGTTTACCTTTTATTTATTTGTATGGTGTAAATTAAATTATAACTTGCTTATTTAATAATATTACAGTTTAAGGATAAGAAAAATAACTTCCAAGTATAATAACAAAGATAATAGGTTTAATTCTAGTGGAGTATTAGAAACTGGAAAATATACTTAATACTTATTGAGTTATACAATATTTACAAACAAATGCATGTATATGAAAAAAATTCATTATTTAATATTGGTTTACTGAATTAAATAATAAATATTGTTATTTTAATCATGTTCAAATAAATTAATGATTATTATGAATTTCAAAACATAAGATACAAATGATTTTGATACATATACATTAATAGAATATATTAACATTTAATTTTTTTTTGTATCAAGCAAGACAAAAATAATTCTTTGAAAAACATAATTTTCTAATTTTTCATTAAATATAGCAATGCTTAGATGTCAATTTTTGTCCTGAAAAATTATTTTTGACTAAAGCCTTAAAATTCTAGCTGCACCACTAACAGAACATTTCACTATCCATTTAATATAAAATATTAATTTAGATAAATATCCCAAAATTCTATTCTTAAGACTTCTAACTAATTATAATATAATATTTTTAAGACAATGTATTCAAAATATATTGAGATAAGCCTCGAGTTAATTAAAAAGTTTACCTTGCAATAATTTGTGTACATAATATTAACATTAAGTATATTGTATAATAATTATTATTATTATTTAAACTCAATTCTCTTATTAAATAAAAATACATACTTGCAAATTGTTATACTTTATAGCCTCACAAACAAATATTTTTATTTCTACAGGAAAGTTTTATTTATATGTGTACCTCTATATTTTTTAAATTATTTAAATTTTAATCATTGGGTATTTTAATAATCGGCGGTCGTCATTACCGCACACTTACCGTTCATAACCGCATATTTTACACCGTTCAATACCGCACATATTTATTCTATTATTAAAATGGTAAATTTTAAAGGTTGATAGTTCAAGACCGCACACATTTAATTGATAGTTAAAAATTAAGCATATTTTATTGTAAAAAAAATTAAAAAAAATAATTTAGCATAAATTAAAAATAATTATATACCTATACAATTAAATTGAAATAAATTTACACCCTAATGTTTTTAAATAATCAATTAAATTTATTTCCTTGGCCATGAAACGATTAAGGAAATTTAAAATATATTTTTCTTTTTTCCTACCTAATTTACGTGTAAGGTTTACGTTGTTGTTTCATATAAGTCTAAATTTGGTTTCAGATTTTGTGATCTTGATTAAATACCTATGATTAACTATAGTGCTGTACTAAACGATAATGTTATTTTAGATAAATGTATATGTTATTGATATATTATTAATGTGTGCAGTATTTAACGGTTTAATTTGGGGAATATATGCGGGATAAGATATAAAAGTGTGCAGTTTTCAACGACGACCTTTTTTTGAAAGTGTACGGTTATGAACGACGCCCTTATTAATATGTATGCATATTGCATAATATTTATTTTGATTCTAAATTAATATTGTAATAGCCAATAAGTCATTTTAATTTTAGTTTTGTTGTTCGAAACATTACATTTAAGAGTTATTTAAGAATTGTAATTACTTATTAGGTTTGTAATATTTTGATAAATGTTTATACGTATTTAAATATTTTTAATTTTTGATTACTTTTGATTATAGTATTTATTTGCCATGGCTATACTTTAAATTAATAGGTTAATTATGTAATTAAATTCAATTAAGTGATATTAACAATTAATAAAAAAATTGTAATTTTTTAAGCATAACGTTAGATGATATCGATAAATAATATTTGTGATCATCAACAGATTTAGAAGATTATAAACAATGTATCAGTTGGGTAAGATACATGTCTTCGAATGTCATGTTTTCGAATAACAAGTGTTAGAAAAGTTATTTGTTCGAATTGATATATGTTCGGAAAATCGTATGAACGAAATAATATATTTAAATATTATAGATTGTATCAAGAGAGGACATGAGTTGGGGAGTTGGGACTAGTCTATTTGTGTTACCCAGGAGACATCACGTAGATGTTGGTTAGAATATCTCCCAAAAATTGTGTTTTTTGTTAGTTGTTACGTTAAGGTGTATATTAGATTCATTTTAAAAATAAAAATATTATTATGTACTAGCACTACTAGCTAAAGTCACACGGATAATTGTTCAATGTCTAATCTGGTAACTTCAATATAGCCAAATATCGCACCGTCGTAGCCATTGAAGAAATTTTTTTTTATTAATTTTTGAAATATTAGATACCTATTTTTAATTTAAATTTCGTTCTTGTGACTTTTTGAACATATATCTATTCTATTCGAACAAATAATATTTCGATTACATACTACTCGAACAAATAACTTTTTTTAACACGTGTCATTCGAAAACATGATCCATTCCGGTATCAATAATATTTATAAAAATACCTACTTTGTAAGACATTTAAATATTTATAAAGAAATGTTTAACCAAAAGTTACCTAAATATTTTGTTAAATTTTATTTAAAAAATACTTGAAAATATTATTTATTGGTACCCTTATAATGTTGTCCTTTTTTTTTACCAAATATATTGTTAATTTAACAACTGAATTAATAAAAAAAAAATTTTATTTTATAATATCACCATTAGAAATAATTAATGTAGATACTAATATCAAGTTTTAATGATTTTATATTTATAATTTGTCTTTGTTTAAAATTTTTCATGTATATATAAATACAAAAAAATATATTTATTTTTTTTTAATGCTATAATTTTTGGAAACATCAACACAAAATTGTTCATGTTTTCTTTCTTATTATTATTCTTGTCTTTCCTCTACTGTTTACTAAAGTAAATTTTTATTTCAGACATTACTTTATAGTATATACATTATCTACACGGGTATTTAATATTATATTAATTTATTATTATAAGTATCAAGTAGGTATTTAAAATTTACATATTTGTCGACACATTTGTGGTTTGTGTGTAATAGATTTAATTTTTACAAAAAGACCAAAATGATGTAAATGATGATGAAATACTTAAAATTTATCCTCTCTATAGATTACATCTATAAGGCTAAAACTTTCTTTGACTATTTTAGAATATAAATTACAATGAAAATAACGTAGCAACCATCAGGTATTTTTATAAATATTAAATACTAATTTATTAACCTAATTGTTTTGCTTTAACTTAAGTCTAAATATTAATAAATATTGTTTCTATACATTTCCATAGAAATTTACAATGTCGTCCAAACAAATTAATTATAAATCTCATATAAATAACACATAACTCAACATAAGACTCAAATCTAGGTCCGGATTTATATTCTCTAATTACGTCTAAAATATGATACTTATATTATTTAAAAAAACTGCAAATATTCTATTTACATTTACTAAAAAATATTCAATAATATGCTGAAAAAATTTTAAAAATGAAAAAATATTAAAAAATATCCAGAACGACCAGATTAATTTAAATTTTTACATTATTTGTTAAATATCTAATTATACTCAACTTAGGTATACACTTTTGTAATTAAATTATTGCACTATATTAATGTAATATATAAACAATGCAATTAAAACATTTATTTTATTAAAACATAAAAATAGTAATATTCCTTAATAAATCAGTGAAATGAGATTTAATATGCATCAGTTCATTTTTTAACGAATCTAACATAAACATTTGTTTACATTTTTCAACGCTAGTTGATACATCATTATCCACATTTTCAATAACAATTTTTATTCCTAAGTAATGGTCAGTATTAAAAATCACAACTTTAAGCCACATGCCCCATCTAGTAACGACTGGTTCAGGTGGTAAAGGAACACCCGAAAATTCTTTTTTATAACAGTATTAACATCGCGAGTTTTTTTTATCAAAATTTTACATAAAAAATTTAAATAATTACTAATTATTCATTTTT